AATTGGGGCGTTTGATTAGTAAGTCTTTGGCGCTCGGATAAGCCAACCATGGTGGATCTTAATTCCACTGTCGAGTTGGTCTGACAACACTAGCACTCCTTTCATAAAATCATATCACAAAGCCTTATCTTCTGAAGTATTCCCTTGTATCCTTGCCGCCGTTTTTACTTTCCCGCCCCAAATACTTGGGCGCCTTCAGTGGGCATGATATTTTTCCCAACATGATGCCATGTTGCCATTTGTACCTTTCATTATTTAGGGGCCTTACGAGTATCCCAGACGTCAAATTTATTCACATGGAGTACTTTCAATCATGGCATAAAATTTGGACGGAGATTATATCCAACACAAGGCGCTAGATTTGGGCGCGGGATGTATTACCAACCAGGGGCGCTAAATGTGGGCGCGGAGAGTACTACCAACCAAGGCGCTAGATTCGGGCGCGGCGAGTATTACCAACCAAGGCCGCTAATTTTGGACGCGTATTGTATTTCCAACGAAAGGCGCTAAATTTGAGTGCGACGAGTACTTCGCAAAAACCAAAATATCTGGTGCAAGTAAAATTAAATTTCACAAAGAACAGAAATCGAGTACTTAGCTTTGAAGTGTGCTCTGAAGCCCATGCAAGCAATTCTTAAAAAAGATAGGCGCTCACTTTAAGTTCACAGGTGCAAGCATGTCGTCAAGTTGTTGAAGCATATGCGTTCCTCTCAATAGTAGGCGCCCACAACAATGTGTCAAGGCGCACCGATGACTTTATAAACTCGAACAGTTTCCGACTGTATCTTGATCAATAATAAGCGCCCGCCAAATTGCAACAAGATGTTTGGTTGTTGACGAGTGGTAGACTTCGTTGTCTTCTCTTGGAGAGGTACTGGTTTCGAATCTCACACCCTACTACATTTTAATTTAATCAGTGTGCGCTTGGGCCTTATATGGGCCGGCTGTCTGTCGGGCTCAATGCACAATTTGAACGCCTAGAGAGTCAAATTGACCGGATTGAGAGAGGCGTCGGGCCTCAATGCCATTTTGACTTATGACCAGAACGCTTGGGCTTCCTATGGGCTGTTTGCATCTCGGGGTTCAAAACAACAACAGAGTCCATGTGATTGGGATCATGGGCTGAATTATCTATAGAACGCTTGGGCTTCCTATGGGCTGTTTGCATCTCGGGCTTCAAAACAACAACAGAGTCCATGTGATTGGGATCATGGGCTGAATTATCTATGGTAATGAGTTAAACGGGCGCCCACAACAACTTCTTGTATGCGTTCCATGGACTTGGAGCAGGCGCTAGCCCCTGTGGGCACCATTATTTTTCTCTTCTTTCTTTTCATTCTTCCTTTATGAGCTATTGCGCTTCTTCCTCTCCATCATGGACGATTCTAGGTTTCCATACCCCCTTTTTATTATTATTCCGCCAGCGCCCAAGTGCATTTGCTTTCTATCCCCCCATCACAAGAACTCTCCCGATGACACAATCGAAGTGAGGCTGAAATTAGATGCTCTGCATTTGTACCTACGCGTCGAAACTTTGGGTTTGCCCACTGATATTTCCCTTGATGCTCGGCTCCCCCAATCCTCCCTTTGTAAAGCCAATGACAACGACGAACGTCTCTTTCGGCGTGAAAAAAGACAGGCGCCAAATGGCGGAGATGGGACTGAGGCAACCTAATTTGTCGACAGTTGCGCCTACGTGCGGCGGCTCAAGTGCTCTGCTGGCTTCCGCTCTCTGCTCGTGTAAGCATCTTTGCCATCCCCTCGTCTCGTTTTTCTTTCTTTCTTTCTTCATTTTTTTTTTTTTTTTGACAGGCGTCCATCTATGAGGCTCCCATGGAAGTGTCATGTTGAAGGCGCCTCCTCTGCGCCATCGTTCCGATCGCGGCGCCTATCACTTGCCCCCCACACGCATGGTTAACAAAGCCGACTCCATGAGCGCTTCGTCTCTCGTAACGGGCGCTTCACCAGCAAACTCCATGTGAAAACTAACAATTGTTTTGTCCAACTAATACGCAACAGAGAACAAAACCGCTTCGATAAGATGAGGATGCGTCGTCACAAACACTGAATGTTCTGCTGTGAGAGAACATGCAAACCAAATTTCTCGGCGCCTTGTAAGCCATTCAAGGGTGGCACAAACCATATGACACCAGCAAACCTCATACTCGGCATTGCCCTCAAAACAGGGCGCCCCTACTCCCTCCTTTAAACGAGGCGCCTTGAACCTCATCTACAACTCGGACATCTTAATCGCTTCCCGAAGGCGCCCGCATCGCATGCCCCTTTCTCACCTAAAGTCCTCCACTTCCCGGACGTCTCGTCATCACCCTTCATGCTTTCCTCTTCTTCAATAATTAAACCCAAACTCATCGTTACCCCAGGCGCCTCAGATGCTCCTATGGTGGTTCTCTCCCGATCCGTTGACAAAAGGCGCCTCTTCTCACGCTTGTTAAGAAGACGTGCCCCTATCTGGCGCGCCAATTGTTTCAGCCAAGAAACAAGGGAGGCGCCGAACCTGTGAAAGCGCGGGGTTGGCCCCGATTATCTACACTCCGACGATCAACATTAGTGAACTTGTAAGGGAATAGGAAGAGCAAAGGTAGAGAGAGATTGTATAGAGAGATAAGTGATATCTCCCAAATGAGAAGGAGAGGAGAGGCCCCTTACTTGGAGTGCTTAGTAGTGTATTTATAGGCCAAGCTTGCCTTCTTCATGTGGGCTTTAGTTGTAGGATCATGAAGATACTTTGTGGGTTTGGGCCCATACATACTTGATGGGTTGTAGTTGCGGTTTGGGCTGGGCTAAGCCATGTTTGATGGCCCAACACCCACTCCTTAATTAGATGCATTCTCTCTCTATCTAATCTAGTCGGCTAATCAAGATAGTGAAGCAGAGAGGCAGAGTACGGGTAGCAGGTGCGTTGGCGGGAGCGACGGTGGCAGTTGGAGCGCGGGTCGCAGGACGGGAGCAATAGTGGCGGTGGATTGCGATTGCTGAACGTCCAGCTCTCTGTTTGTCGTTGTCGACGGATGTTCTTGGAGAGCAGCAAACGAGCAACACACTAGCAGATCTGAGCAGATCTATTATGGAGAGAGAGGGACGAGATTGGTTTGTGTGAGCAAAGACAGAGAGGCATGAGTAGGGCAAATGGACGGATCTGGATTAGGGGGTATGTCAATTCCCCTTGCTCCCTCGAACACCCCCGCCGATCCCAACGAAGCAATGAAAACGACCCAAAGCTCAACCCTAGATCGTCCTCCACGCTCGCCAAACTCCTCTCCCAGATTGTCGCGAAAACTCTCACCGACGGCTAATACGCCACTTCCTCGTCCTCCATCGAAAAAGCAATCTCGCCGACGCTTCTAATTAAGGAGTGGGGTTGGAGAAATTGGACGAGGATATGGCTATGAGGAAGGAGATTTGGGAGAAGAAAAGGGGATTTAAGTTGATTGGAAGGGTTCTTGGTAAGAATGATAGGTATAATTTTTGGGGGTTTTCTGGCGAACAATGGTTGTGTGGAGGATTTGTTTTGGGTTTGTGATTATTAGAAGAACTCTGTGTTAGGATGGAGATTTTGTTTTATTTTGGGCGGCGGAGAGATCGGTTAATGGCGGAGGAAGGGAAGGGAAGGGAAGTCGACAAATAAATTGGATTTTTTTTAATTCTTTATTGACGTGGCATTCCACATGTACATTTGGTTGACGTGTTGCTGATGTGGAGGTCGGATTTCGTCCTCGTCAGTGTTCTGTCAAACGATTTAACGGAGTCACAGATGGTGTTAAAGTTTCTAACGGAATTGGCTAGATTTGTCACACTACCCTCCGTTTTTTGAGCTATTTCGTGTTTTCGAATAGATATGGCTATATTTGTCAAAAACGTGAAAGTTATGGCTATACAAGTGTATTTTGCCATAAATTTAGGTAAAATATAAATATGAACGCATTAACAACAAATATGTGTCTGGAGTTAAATCAAAGAAATTACAATAAATACACGGTAGTCTAGTTGATTGTAGTGTTTTCCCTTCATTTAATTGACCAGGTTCAATTCCCAATAATAATATTTTTAATATTAAAAACAATTGGGCGCAATTATAAAAACGATCTTCCTAGAATCACTCTCAGACCACAAAATTTAAAATGTGAGTTGTAGTTTTTCCGTTTCACTATAAATATACTAGTTTGGTGTCCGACCCGTTGGTCGAAATGTCATTTGAATATGACGTATTTACGATGTACATCCTAAAATTTTCAAAATATTTGAAATGTGTAATTCTAGTCGGTGCTAAATAAATTGTTAAAATCAAATGAGATAATAAAAGGATGAAATTTGAAATATCAAAGACCAAAGGAATACTTGTGGAAGATTTAGTGGGCTAGTTAACTGTTATGGAAAAGTTATATATTTTTAAAATTTTAGATTTCTTTATGTTTTTATTTTAAAATTATACATCAAATTTGTTTAGCACAGTTGGTAAGGATTCATTTCCATTTAAACCATGGTACAAATATTAGGATGTATATGTACTTGTTGGTTGATTGCATGGTTGGTCACTGAGATTACAAAAAACGTTCAAGTTTGGTCACTCGAAATATTAAAATCCATTGTTGGTACTTTAGTTTAATCAAATCGTTCGCGTTTGGTCACTCTCCGTCCAACTCCGTTAACTTTGGCTGATGTGTCAGTCAACTCTCAAAGTTGACCGTTAACTTAGTGACGTGGCAATAAAAAATTATTAAAAAAAATTAAACTTTTATATTTTCCACCTCATATTACTACATTCATTAAGACCTAATTTCTTTTCTACAAACCCCCATACCCTACCCGACCCAACCTTCATTGCCGCCGCGGGATCCGACCACCGTAGCAACACTCCCCACCACCACCACCCGACTCCTGCCCCATCCCCGTCCTCGGAGCCAGCTTCAATCCCTCCTCCCACTCCTCCGCCGCCGCCTGCCCCTGCAACATCCAATCTAACAACAGTCAACTCTCAAAGGCTAGTCCTTCAATCCAAAAGCGGCGGGCCCGAGCTGCAAGACCACCGCACTCTTCGCGACTGCGATATCACCAACAACTCCGAGATCCCCGCCACCGCCCTTTCTCCAATCCCCGCCGCATCTCCTACCCCATCTTCGCCGCCCCGGCGGCTGCGACCACCGCATTGGCTCCAACCGGGTCGGGCGGTTCCGGGTCGGGTTCGAGCGGGAGTAACAAGAAGCTGCTAGTGGTGACGAAATGCGCGACCAAGAAACTGCCCGTGGAAGTGAACGCAAGGATAACGTCAGGGAGCTGAGGAAGGAGCTGTAGAGGCACAATGGTGGGTAAAATTCTGGCTTCCCCCTGTTTTCTAGCTAGATTTACTTGTGGGTAATTTCATTTTCTGGTTACTGCCCATTTCGATTGAGAAGCTAGTGACTAGTGAGGTTGTGCTCTAGTGGTGGTGAGGGTATGGGGTTTGTAGGAAGAAATTTTGTTTTTTATTTTTTTTATTTTTTATTGAATGTAATAATGAGGTGGAAAATATAATTTTTTTATTTTTAATAATTTTTAGGTGCCACGTTACTAAGCTCACGGTCAATTTTGAGAGTTGACTGTCATATCAGCCAAAGTTAACGGAGTTGGAAGAAGAGTGACCAAACGTGAACAGTTTGAGTAAACTGAAATACCACCAATGAATTTAAATATTTCGAGTGACCAAACTTGAACGTTTTTTGTAATCTCAGTGACCAACCATGCAATTAACCCTATATTTGTTATTATGAATAAGACATATAACGGTAAAGTCAAATCTACCTTACCTACTTTTTCTTGTAAATTTGAAATGCTAAAAAAATTCTTTAAGATATGTGCCCTAATCCAAATTTGCCAATGGTTTTCTCTTCTTCGTTAGGCTTAATGGTCCTGACGTCCTGCTGTTGGGGTACAAACAACCCAGTTTGAGACAGTAGTACCCCTTTAAACCTTCTTATTACAGTAATAGTTCCCTTAACGCAAACATACATATCCAGAAAAGGAAACCAACTTGGATCTGCAATGAGACAATGAAATACACCAATGCTAAAAACACTTAACCAAACAGACTCAGAATTCCTTCCTTGATATCATGAAAAGCCATTGAACTTCACTCACCCACTTCACCAAAAAGAGTCTGGTTCAAACCTTGTTGAATGCAGAAGTGAGATCCACATGGGTGAGAACTTCATCATTAATCCAGCTAAACTTCTCCATGAAAGGGCTGACATTGAGTGGAGGAAGAGGGTAAGAATCAATGCAATCTCCCCAAACATTCCCATCTGCCAAATCCCTAGTCACCTCCCACACACAAGTGTTACACTTGAAACCTGCACCAAACCCAATCATGAATATCCTGTCACCTCTCTTAAGCCTCTTCTTGGCCTCCATGTACCCCAACACATACCACAGCCCACCCGCCGAGGTGTTCCCGAATCGGTGCAATGCCATTCGAGATGGCTCGAGATCGTAGTCGTCGAGACCCAAGCTCTTCCCAACCCCATCAATCACTGCCCTCCCACCAGGGTGTATGCAGAAGTGCTCAATTCCTGCTTTCATGTTAAGCCCTTCTCCTGCTGCTTCAAGCGATGGATTAACCCCGCCTTTCGCCATCTTTCGATTGTAAGTGTGGAGGACATAGTGTAAGAGATCCTTCACTGGGAGTATCTTGGGGACCAAAACCCTTAGGTTCAATGTGAAGGCTACAGCAGCAGCTTTAGTCAGTCCCTTTGTGAGGAGGAAGCCTTGATGTCCAAGCTTATCCTCCATTTGAATGCAGCAGTTGTATGCCTCATCATCTGCTCCCAAATGGGTTCTCACCGATTGTTTCAGTTTCATCACTGCTTTCCCCTTCAAGCTCCCATTGTTGGTCAGCAGCATCGAACACCCACCGGACCGAAACAGGCAGTTGGACAGAATCATGGACCTCTCCTTCCCACAGTACCAGTTTGGTCCAATCGACTCTGTGCTCACCACAATGGCCAAAGCCTTGCCGTGACTCTTGAACAGTTGCCTGACCAAATCGATGGCCACAATGCTCGCACTGCATCCCATCCCGGAAATGTTGAACGTCTTGATGTCTTCCCTCATCTTGTACTTGTTGACAACCCTAGAAGTCAGAGAAGGTTCAGGGGAAAACAGGGCGACGTTGACCACCAAGATGTCGATGTCAGTTGGGGAGATTCCGGTCTTGGCGAAGAGGGCGTCTAAGGTGTCGAAGGCGATGTCATCAAACTCCGAGAGGGAGTCCGCGAGGAGTGGAGTGGCTTCCCTGCCTTCCAGGACGTTTCTTGGGCCGTAAGTTTCTTCACCAAGGCCAGAGCTGACTATTGTCTGGAGGAGGAACCTGTATTCTTGCAGCCCAAGGTTCTTGTTCCTCATCACGATCTTGGCACAGGTTTCGGTGTCGAGCTTCCTGTCTTCGGTGCCCTTGTAGCACTCGTAGTGCAGCATGTAGCAGCATGAGTTTGCTCTGCTCTGGAATATGAGTTTGTGGAGGTGGAAAGTGATGTAGGAGAAGAGGAGGAGGAGAAAGATCATCATGGCTCTGGCTTAGGCAAAGGAAATGGATGTCTATGTGATTTCTCACAACTTCCTTCCTCTGTTTTGCATGAAGAGTCTGTGTGTGGATTTAGTGGATAAGTAAGTCTTGTGTTTATAGAAACTTCTTTCTTGAATGAAAAGAAAAGTTTAAGAGTACCCCCAACCACCTCTATTTATTACCTGGCTGTAAAGTTGGTTCGAGTGAGCTTGGGATGCTGTAGTAATATAGTATCAGAACATATAAGTAGAAACTGTATTCTCTTACTTACCTCTCTGATGCTTCGAAGAGAGATTGAATTTCACCCTCCTTGTTTCAGCTCTGCTGCTGGCGTTGGGTTTCATTTAAGACTATGGGGTCCTTCTACTGCATTTCTTACAGGCAAGGAGCCAAGCACTGTTTTTTCAAACTCGACAGCTGACCCGGCGATTTCATCATTGCGGTACAAGGTCTGTCTGTCTGTATGTTTATATTCATTTTGTAGTAGACTGGGAAATGAAAGGGAATTAATTTGCCGCCATGATAGCACAAGTACGAGTAACATTATGTAATTTGTCAGTATAGAGTCATGGTCTTCAACAGTTTGGATTGAATTTACAATTTTACATTGATTGGTTATGGTGAAGCTGCCTTACACAAAAGGCGAAAATGTCAATCGAAAGAGCTAGTTTGGGAAATTGGAGTGTAAATGATCCAAGAGCAGAGTGATGGCATTCATTGGAAAGGATAGGTTTGCAGGAGCTATAGCTTGTATGTTCCATTACTATGGAGCTGGTTAGGAAGGTAAAAGTTTCAAAAATACTAACTTTTCATAGAAAAAAGTGATGCATAAACTCTGTTTTCTTTCATCTCATAATAACTCAGATTTGCAGTCATAAAATAACCCCAAAATGTAGCAGCTCCCAGTCTTTACCGAGATGCAAAGTATTAGCAAGTCGAGCAAAGATAAAGAAGAGGGAGCAGCACAAGTGATGTAGCTTCAAGGGAACGAGTCAAATGGGAATCTATAAACCCTCATCGACTAGATGATGAAGCTGTTCGGTTCTCAACAACCCAATTGGTAAAAACGCCAAGCAACTGAACACATGGACCAAAATCGTTTCCATGGATGAAGTTGAAGTTAGCGATTGTTCAAAAAAAAAAAACGCAATGAACTGAGCATGCAAATCAATGCAGGAGAAAATTTAGTTGCTCTTCAGTGACCCTCGAATTCCAGAAAGCATTGAGGGGGTAATTTAAGGACGAAGAAGCAACACAAGCAATATGGCTTCAAGGGAACGAGTCAGCTGGGAATGGAGAAATCCACAATGACCAGATAATGAAGCATTCATTCACAGAAATCTCAGTTCAACTGAAACGGAAAAATACATGTAGGAAAAACGATGCTGAAAAACGAATCTGGCAGATGAAGGAAGAATTTGGAAAAGACGAAATGAGAAACTGCTTTCGCAGTTTAATGACGAATATAAGGAGCGGGTTTTGCTGGGATTATAGCAAACCCTAATTTTGGAGAACACTTTGAGGAAATTGGGCTGTTAGATTGGGTTTTAAACCAAACCCTTTACTGTTGGGCCTGGCTATGCTAGTATCTAATCAGTAATCAGAGCCCAACTGGTGGGAGTTGTTACTTGAGAAATGGTGTTCTTCCCAGTTGCACCATCCAAAATCCTAATCATAAAAATTGCAGTTCAATAATAAATGAACTTTTAGGACAAAAAAAGTGGACTGCCATCACGTTCGATCTGTTTTGTTCCAGTTCAAATGTCAAGTCGATCCATTTTTCCCCGTATTTGCATCGTATTTGCACAATTCAATTTATAAAATCAAGGAATGCACCACACTAGCATCTATATTCGGTCCGGTAATGATCCAATCAAACAAGACAATAGTTGTCAAATATCAGTTGCTCCCAAAAGATAAGCATCCCATAATATAGTACTAACACTCAAGACGACAACAAAAATTCCATAGGCAAACTCAAACATTCCGTCTTCCACGAGAAATGTAATCCAGTAGATTTTCTTTTAACCCTCTACTACTTTCAGTCCCCTACTAAAAAGGCTTAGACAAACAAGTTGGGTCTGGATGCCTTGTATGTGGTCTTCAGCTTTCTGGTTGGCGGACGGACCTTCTTGAACACCAAGGGGAACTTGATCTTGGAGTTGTGGAACTGCTTGGTGCTCTCCCTCTTGCACAGCTTAGCGGGGATGGTTGCGGTCTTGATAATCTGGATGCAAGGAGATCGGACCCTGTGGCGAGAAGCCATCTCGCTGTACATCTGTTCAACAGCACCGTTCAGAGTGGTGTCGCGGAATTCCTTGTACATGTTGTGGTAACCTGTCCTGCTCTGGTAGCGCAGCCAAATTCCGTAGTTGTTGATCTTCGTGGGATTCTTCTCGAAGATCTGCAAATGTTTACAGAATATCAGTAACGAGTACTCTAAATTCGCAGGAAATGTCAAACTTTTATGACATCAGTCAATTTAAGACTGCATCAAACATAAACTTAGAGAGCAACCATGACAGTAGGATAGCAAGCAATAACTGTTTTACTTAACCAAGCACCAAATCAGAGGCTGACGGACTTGTAAAACATATTTATAGCTGCTCTAATGTTGCTCCAAAATACAATGTCGAGCACCAGACCAATGAGTATTACAGATTGAAGGGAACAAGGAAGATGGGGAATCGTGGAATACTGATAAAGCAAATGATGGAGTATTGCAGTTCCCACCCAGACCAAGTTGACCACTAAGGACCCTAGTGAGGTAGCACACATGAGAAAAGGACTTTAGTAGTTGAACAATCCAAGGAACTCACAGTTTGAAGCTGCAATTGACCACTATCTTTTGCTCAGGTTCTAGAAAACTAAACCCTTTCTTCTCTCCATGCAGGACTAACAAAACCATCTTTTCGCAGACGCATACACAAGATAGAGATATAACTGACATAAAATGAAGCTACTCCATAGTTCTACAGACAACCAAAAGGGCAACAAGTTTCCACAGCATAAACAGGATATTGAATCCGTGCAGGAGACCCTTCAACTACAAGTTTCAAGATGTTCAACAACACAATCTAACAACCTAAAACGAAGCCTTCAAATGATAATTCTAACCCATAAAAGGGTAACCCTTGTACCAAAGCCAAATTCAAGTGAGTAAGAACGAGGATTACAAATACTAAAAAATTCACCTCGTTGATAGCTAGAATCTGGCCATTGCTTTTCTTGACCTTCTTCAGCTTCCTCAAGAAATACCTGGTCCAAAATCAACCAGCGAATTTGTGAGGGACAGAATCAACAAACCTCACTCAGTGAACAAAACTACAAAACAGACCAAACACCACAATAGGGCAAACCCACCAGAACTTGGACTTGGCGCGAACCTCATTCGTGTTCCAAAGCTTCATCCTATAGATCTTTGGATGTCCATCGCTCTCCGTCGGCAAAGCTCGCCCGACGACTTGGTACTGGTGGTACTGCACAAACAAGAAAGAAAAAACGCATATAGACCCAATCAACAAACCAACGAAAAGCCCTTCAATCATGACTACATATACCAAAACGCCGATGAACCAAGCTAACAATAAAACAAATGGGAGCCAACCCAGATAAATTTTCAACGGAAAGTCGACAAGCCGAAAGCTTTAACATACCCTGTAAGCAACCATTTTCGCCGGTAGAGGAATGTAGGATGGGAAGTTCCCTTCGCCTCAAACTGTCTCTGCCTTCCACTCTCACGCCGCCGATCGAGAACAAGGAAGAGGGTTTTGGTTTTGGGAACAGAGGATGATTGGTAACCCTAATTGTACATAGTAACACAACACGACTGTCGTTTCGAGGAACCCAAGCCGATGGAGTAATAAAATCCCGACACGTGGTAACCGAACCCGAAATGGGCTTCGGCCTGGACCGTTTGGTTCACAGCACAAAGCCCAACTAACCCATAAACTATATTGGGCCGTGAAAAAGTTCTAGTTTCTAGGGAGGGACAGTTGTTCTCCATAACGGATTAACCGTTAACGGCTATTTTGCAACGAGAATCGGACAACGGTCGGTGCCTTCCACGCAGAATTCTCAGTTTCTCCCCCGTTCAATACTTCCCTCATTTGCTTCCAGTCTCCAGAGACTCGACTACGGAGAAATCGAAAGAGAGAGATGACGTCACTGCCGTACGCCGATGTCGACAACCACATGAGAGCCTTGGCCGGCCGGGCGGAAGGATTCGGCCGGATGGCCATCGGCGGTCTTCACGGAGCACTCTATTCGGTCACCTCCCTGGCAGGTTCTTCCCCTATTTCTTCTTCTTCTCGGAGAACAGAAGTGGGAGTTTATCTAATTCAAAGAATTAGGGTTACTTGAATTCGCATTGGCCCTTTTTAAGCATCCCGTAGGATCGTTGTTGAACGAATGTGATGTAGAAGCAATTGAAGGAAGATTAGGGTTACTGAAAGAATATTCATAGGTTCGTTGCCATTGTGATAGATGATGGCCCTGGATCACTCCGAGAGGGATGCCGAAGGAAGGAGCCACTGTGGATTGTGTTCGATGTCTCCGGGACGATTGAGCTCAAGACGTTCTTGAGCGTGTCGTCTTACAAGACGATCGATGGGCGTGGCCAGAGGATTAAGTTCACGGGGAAGGGTTTGAGGCTGAAGGAATGTGAGCATATAATCATCTGTAACCTGGAATTCGAAGGCGGGAGAGGGCATGACGTCGATGGGATTCAAATCAAGCCGAATTCGAGACATATTTGGATCGACAGATGCAGTCTTCGTGATTATGATGATGGCCTCATTGATATCACTCGCCAAAGCACTGATGTAACTGTCTCAAGGTTTGTGTCTAGTGGCTCTTTTCCTCCATTCTCTTATAGGGGGGGAAACACTGGATTATGGTGGTTACATTTGTTTGCAACTCTGCAGGTGTTACTTTGCTCAACATGACAAGACCATGCTTATTGGGGCTGACCCTACTCATGTGGGTGACAGATGCATCCGGGTGACAATTCACCATTGCTTCTTTGATGGAACCCGGCAGAGACAGCCTCGTCTTAGATTTGGGAAAGTTCATCTCTATAACAATTTCACTAGGAATTGGGCAATCTATGCTGTCTGTGCTAGTGTTGAAGCTCAGGTAATTATGATGGTTTCTTGTGCTATTGAGCATTTGCGATAGCATCTGGCATATGCTAAACTGAGTTACCGATATTGTTCTGCCCTTTTATTCTGTTTTCCGCCACAGATTTATTCTGAGTGCAATTTATATGAAGCGGGAGAGAAGAAAAAGGTCTTTGAATATTACACAGAGAAGGTAACCTCGATCGTGGTGATTTCCATATGATTCTACTAGTGCAGTTCTCCACCTATTGTAAAGACAACTGTGGGGAAAAATCAAATACGTGATACAACCTGGAGTCAAGTACTCCTGTTAGCTAGCAGATCAAACACGAAAACTGTACATTCCATAAGATGGTTGGTGGTATATGGCTTCAAATCATTCACTTTTGTTCTTTGTTGTTCAGGCTGCAGATGCAGAAGAGGCTAAGTCTGGCTTAATAAAATCTGTAGGAGATGTGTTCCTGAACGGAGCTCTGCCATCTCTACAACCTGTTATGTCTGAGCATTGTGTGTTCCATCCGAGTGAACATTATGCAAACTGGACGGTGGAGGCTCCATCAGATTCTCTAAAAGAAGTTCTTCAAGTCTATGCAGGTTGGCAAGCTCTTCCTCGACCCAACGATAACATCCCAAACTAGAAATACCTAGTTTGGTATTTCCTCACTGTCTTATTTGTACCTTCTGTTTGTATTTCCTTGCATATGTATACGTCTCTTGTGATAGGATCTCACACTTCACTATCCTCAAATGGAGGCTGAAAAGGAAGTTATGGAATTTTTGTCTCCAGCTAACTTATCCAATTTTTCAATGCAACTTTGTGAATTGTGTTACATAATGTTCCCAGAACATGTTAAGTCAACTATCAGTTTTTCTAACATTAACTTTATCACTTTTTTTTGTAGTAATTGTTCTGAGTTTTTCTGTTTTTCTGATTTACTTATACTTGTGATTCAGTGTCTTTGTCGACTTTTTTAGTTCATCAGTTCTCGCAACCATTATTTGAGATATTTACACTATTTCAAGCATACATTTAGGCAAGTTCAGCCGAAAAATAAAGATAGAGCTTCAGTTTTTGGCTTATTCTACCATTTGAAAGGGATTTGTGACAACGTCATTAGAAAGGAACCAGTAGGTGCTATCAGCCAAATAATATGCTGTGTAATTTCTTCCATTGCGATTGTAAACAATGTCTCTTACATGTTACTTCTATTACTACATCGTTATCACATACATCCTCGATATGAGTTTCGTGATCAAATGCACGAGAACCATAAAACATATCAGAGAGGTGATTCTCTACGTCATCTGGACCAAACATCACCAACTCTCCCGAACTGCTGTCTTTTCCATTCAGCATTCCAACACACCTGCCATAAACTTCTCTATATACAGGTACGAGTTTCTTTGCTATTGAAACCTTCAATGCTGCCCTTAAGTTCTCATTTGGTACAATCCAAGATACCTGTTTCCTGTGTGATTCCTCAAAAGCTGCATTAAACCTGCGAAAACATTCCTCTGCAGCTTCTGGTGATAGCTCTGGAAGAGGCATACTCGGCAGGGCTGAGATGACTTATTCCAGGGTGATAGCTCTGGTGATTGTCTCATTGTTCGCAGCATATTTTTTAAGCTTCTTGGCATGCTTAACACCCAATCTTCGCCAAGGATAACCCTTAGCCGGGTTGCACATACTTTCTCCAAGATGAATTGCTAGTTGTTTGCAAGGAAGAGATAAGAAAGGGACACATCATCGTACTTTCCTGATTTTATGTCAAGCTTGCATAAGAGAACCAGTATGATCCAAGCTAGTCAGGCTGATAGAGCCATCGAAGGAGCTGGGGAATTTTATGAAAAAAACAAGAGAGAGAGAGAGAGAGAGAGAGAGAGATGTTTTAGATGAATGTGGAGCAAGTAGAAAGTGAAGGACGACATTGACAACCTATTACACTGATCATCTTTCAACCACAACTGGTAACCCATTGGCCATTACAGTGTTTTCCAATTCATCTCCCGATTCCGCTTGGATTCTAACCTCGAGAAATTATTCAACGTGATTGTCTTCCAAACCACAATTGATTATTTGATTGCCGAGATCAGAGGATTTTGTTCGTGGGGGAAAGGGTTTTTATGGCTGAAGATTTTAGTGCATCGTCATTCATCTGCAACCTATAGTTGGGAAGGCTGGAAGGCTCTCGCAGCGCTGAATCAGAATAATGTCGAGCCGAAATTCAGACGTACATATGGTATCCGCTGCCTCTAGGATTTAATCTCCTGTTCCTTTTGTTTTTGAGTCATTCATTTCTGGGTCTATGATATTGATATCTGTGGGAGTCGGTTTCCTCAGACAGCACTTTGCGCCCCATCTATGGGCATTGCTGATCACTTCACGGTGAGTTCTTTTTCCAAGTGAATGATATTATTATCCAACATCGACACTGAGCCAACAGAAATGGGTTTGAACAAAATGTGGCTGTGTCGTGTTGTCTGAGGAGCAGTGGAGCTAATTAGATGGATCCCATTGATCAAATGAAAATTATAGCGCACGGAATCATCTTGAGACTTGCTCAGTCAACAATGGCCCTTGTCTGACACGCTTGTTTGAGTTTGCACGTTAGTTGGGGCTGGCTTTCCTTGCTTGACTTATCCTTGTGCTGTGATTCTGTTATTTTGTTGACCTTTTTTGAGGTTGCCCTGTGCTGGCTATGTCATTATTTCTAAAGGGTTCCAAGCCTGATTCACATGAGCCAACTCCAGCAAGACAAGCATCATAATTGGGCCAGCCATGAGCCATGTGAAAGTTTGAAACTTTGTAAATAATATTGCTGCACATTTTCTTCTATCAAACTGGTATACATCAATGTATTTTCTTACACCATATACTATTATTGTTAGTTCATCGTGACACAGATCCTCGGGACGAGTTTGATGAGGAACTACCAGACGAAGAATCACCATGGAAAAGATCTGAGAGGTAATTCTCCAGATCATCTGGACCAAACTTCACCAACACCTCCAAACTCTCTCCACTCAGCGTTCCTGATCCCACCACAAAAGTATCATAAAACTCTTGATATGCTGGTACGAGTTTCCTGGCTATCGACACCTTCAATTCGTCTCTGAATTTCCGGTTTGGTACTACCCATGACATCTGTTTCCTGTGTGATTCTTCGAAAGCTGCGTTGAACTTCCGAAAACATTCTGCTGCAGCTTCTGGTGATTGTTCTTCTGGGAAAGGCTTGCTTGGTATGGATGAGAAGACCTTATTCCACGCCATCGTCTCATAATTGGTAGCATATTGCTTGGCCTTCTTTACATGCTTGAACACCCAATCCTCACCTAGGACGACCCTCAACCGGGTTGTGCACACCTTCTCAATGATGAACTGCATGTTGTTTGCTAGGAACAGGTATGAAAGGGACACGTCTTTGTACTGTTCTGCTTTCCTGTCAAGCTTGCATAAGAGAACTAGGATGAGCCAAGCTAGTCGGGTTGAAACAGCTGGTGAGGGACCATCAATGGCGCTTGTTGTTGGACTTTCGTAGTAAGATTCTGGCAGCTTTGAGCTGCTTTCTGGAAGAGAGTCGGCAATGATGCCTGAAAGAACGCTGCTGTAATCCACCAGTGATGATAAGTAAATCATGGCTGATGCGTTCAACGGATGAATTCCTCCGCCAGGAACTTGAGATTTTGATGAGTCCTTCTGGATTGTTGTTTCGAACTCGGATAGAGTTTGGCGAACTGACTCGCTAAGCTTCAGTAGCGATGACTGAGCTTGCTGTTTTACAGAGGAGATGGATTCGAAGCTGAAAATAGATTCTATTTCTGGCCACATATCAACCAGTGCTTCATAAATGTCCATCAGAGGGAAGATTCTGTCATTTTTCAGGTTCTTGTTCTTGGCTACGAGTTCAGGAAACCTGAACAAGTTCGCTGCTGCTTCTTTCACCACCTCAGAGAAGCACAACTCTCTGATCCTCTCATAAGATGAGAAGACATAGTCGCACATAACTTTTTCTCCAAGAAACAAGTTTTTGACTGCAAGATTCACAGCATTCAGCCAGTTCTTCACCATGTTCTCTAGAGCTTCTGAATTCAATCTCTGGATTTGGGAAGCCTTGTAGTGCTCAACTCCTAGCCTGTGCAGCGCTTCGTCCACAATGGATTTCCTCATGAGCAGGTAAACCTTGACACACTCTTTGGTATAACCAGAAGTGATCATACAGTCAGCTATGGACTTGATATCCGATAAGCCACCAACTCCTGGAACCCTCCTCTGCTGCCTCACAAGAACTGATTCGTCACGAGTCATGAGCTCATCTTCTTCACACCGAATCTCAGCCTGATCGTCTTCGGCATTGCTCAACGACCCTTCTGATGAGGACTGACCTGAAACAGACTCGGGACTAAGATGATCCCAGTTTCCTGACAGGACCTGGTAGAGCTCCTTCTCCAGCCTCCTCATGGCAATCTGGATAAGCCTCTGACAAACCGCGAGCTTCTCAGGATCAGAATGTTGTGACAGCAAGAAATGCATGGCCCTGCGAAGGTCCTTGACGCATTTCATGAACTCGCTGGCCTCGTCCTTGTTGTTTTGGAAAAGGGAAGTAACCCTATTGACTGATGAAGAATCCAGATCCCACTTGGAGATGATGGATTCAGCATTTTCAATGTCCTCCTCCATCATTGAAGCAGAGAAGGTGTGGTGGAGAGGGGAAGAGGGAGGGAAGCGAGAAGGCGAGGCTGAGAAGGAAGCGAGAGGAGAAAGACTCTTGTTGGTGGATTGGAAGAGATGAGACATCCCTTTCTTTGTCAGTGTCATTCTTTCTTCTTGTTCTGGGGCTTGTTCAGGTTTTTCTGGAGCTTGGGGCTGAAGAATGGAGAAATGTGGGAATTGTTTGTTTTGCTTTGAGGGTGGCAGTTTGGATACATAGATGGAAGGCACTTATATAGAGGGACACGTATAGCAAAATTGTTCCTTTTGGTTTCTTGTTTGAGAAGGCTCAGGTAGGTTTCTGATTGGGGCAAAAGTATGAGGGAGAAAATTATCAAAAAGGGAAGTCTACTTCCCTTATTCGCCTGCAAGGAATCAAAAGTCTACAGTTGACTTGCAATGAGGTAAGGAGCAAATTTAAACTTCTTGGGGCTATTTTATCTACCCTCATTACTGTCCAGTCTATTCATAGAATGTATATACCTCTGATCCTTTTAGGAAAATCTTGTATATATTTTGGAATATGAAAAATCCATTTTTCTAGAATGTCTTTGGAATACTTTTTTCTATATGGAAAATCTAATGTCTCACTATCTCATCTTGATTAAATCCAGTGTTTGTGAAACTCTATCGTGCTGGTTGTCCAATCAGGAAAACTCTCATGTCATAGTCTAAGTCGGTAGGTTGTTTTTAGCGATATGAAACGATAAAACCACCGTTAAACCACGATTTCAGCACACAATGTCCTACCACTGATTTTTTCTGTACAAGCTCCGCTACAGTTTTACATGCATTAATTAAATCATTAGGATATGTTTTGTCTTTTGATTTCAGCAACCAGAAATTAGTAAGTAGTCAACAAGATTGCGTGATTGGTTAATAATGAGATTACTTGAGGAAAAATACATTGTATGCTTGGATATAAGTGCATTTGCATGAATAATTAATCGAAAAGATTAGGTAACCGAGTGTTGGTGGTAGGGATGGCAATGGGGCGGGTTTGGGGCGGGTTTGTCTAAACCATCCCCATCCCCATCTTCAAATACCCAAACTCATACCCGCCCCACACCCATGCGGGGAAATGTTTTGCAAACCCATCCCCATACCCGTGGGTTTCGGGTACCCATGGGTAATACCCATCCCCGTATATCCAACATTATTATACCTAAAACTTACAAGAAAAGTTTTAATTATAACCATAAACAAACCTATTATATCATGAAGTCAACAAAACACGGCCATTTTTTAAATATGATTCAAAGAATATTATCCTAAAACATCCATTAATACATAATATAGACTACAATATTTTTTAAATTATTATGCTCTAACTCTTGAT